TTTTTGTATATTATAGTATTAAAAATTAATTCTATATTTCAATACAATTTCAACATAAACATATATAATTGTATCTGTTTGTTTTTATTTTAATTGGTTTTTTTTTTTTTTTTTCACATCTCAGTTGATATCTTTATATTTTTGGTAATTTACTAAATCAAAATATATAATATTATACATTAGGTATGACTCATTCAAAATTGTTTTATTTTTATCTCACTCGATAAACAATTATTTTTATTTACACTTAAAACTTTTTATTTTTTATAAAATTAGTTTATTTTAATTATAAATAAATAAATATAGTATATTTTTTTATTTATTTGTATTGTTTAAAATTTTAGACTATACAAAATGATAGTCATATAATATATATTTTATTAATCTATCATATTTAAAATATTTAAACATATATTTTATTTTTTGTAATTATATATTAATTCTTATTTTAAAATTACTAACAATACTAATCACATCAAAAATAATAAATAATGTAATAATTCATTATTATTAATTAATTAAACCTCGTTACCTTAAACACATTTTTTTTTATACCCACACATTATATAATAACCACCAATGTAATCATTTTGTCATTTAGATTTGTCCGACTTCAATGTATCTAATTTTTGTGTTTAATAATTGTACGTTTACTTTAATAAAAACAAATTATTTCTACACTTTATACAATATTACAAATAATATCATTAAAAATAAATAAATTTGAGGGTAAAATTATGTTTTTATCCTTCTATAATACTATTACCTATTAAATAATAATATACTAAAAATTTACGTGTAAAAAAAAATAAGTACATTGTTGATATTTTGGCTCAAACCCATAAATCAAGCCCAAACCGCAACCCAAAACCCTTTAACCCGACTCGGTTTTAAGAACCCGACCCGACCCGGCACCTTATATCTCCGCCTTCCCTTCTCATTCGGTTCAGGGAATATCGCAGTTCGTCTCTCTCTGGTTTTCCATTGCCTTCGTCCTCGCGATTTCTGGTGAGTTTTGGGGAGTTTTGATATCTTAGCCTTGTTCTCATTCTATTCCTTCCGGTAAGTTGTTCCTTTAGGTGTTCTTCGTGAGGTTCTTGGGGAAATCGGTCGATTAGAGTTAGGGTTCTAAGATCGAGTCCGTTGGTTTGGGGTTTTATTTGGAGGCGGTTGGGTTAGTCCCTAAATGAGTCTTTAGGTTGTAGAGTGAGCCGTCAAAATAGTTTCTTCGATCGTTTTTTCGAGTTGCTCGGGAATTGCCAGAGAAAGGAGTTCGTTGGAAGTCACCGCCGGAGAAGGGAGCCTCCGATGTCCGCTGCTACCTTGTCGTCGCGCTGCCGCCTGGGTTTGTCCGCGGGAGGAAGAACTGCCGGCTGACAGTCGTCATCTGTTGAAAGAAACGGGGAGTTTAATTCTAGTTCTGATTTCGATTCTGTCTAGTTATATAGTTTTGACTAGATATCAATTTTATGGCATATTCTTGTTGATGTAATTTGGTGTTTGACAGATTAGTAAAAATACAACAGTGGTATCAGAGTCAAATCTGTCATATCAGAGTCAAATTTGTCAAAGCAACGAGTTCAGGCAGAATCTTCGGGTAAATCGATCGTTGGTAATATATCGATTTTGGTGAATCCTCTTATTACATATTAGATTGATCTTTAAACTGCTCGTTGCAAAGATTGATTGTGCGATATTGAGAATCTTGTTTTCCTATGTGGCTCTAAATTGTTGTTGTTGCAAATCTTGTATTTAATTGGCAGTTAATCGTTTGGATTGCGTTTTTTAGTGATTTCCTTTGTGAGCAAATATTTTCTTTTAAATGACTGCTCCTATGAGTATTTTCTTTAACATGCAATCGTTTGATGGAAAAATAGATTCTACTATTTGGAAACAAAGAATGAAAAATATTTTAATTACTCAAAAACTTTTTCTCGAGCAATATATGGTACATTTGATGATGATACACCTATTGAAATGGATGAATGTGCATGTGCGTGTATTGTGTTGCATTTAACTGACACTGTGCTTAAAAAATAGGTAATTTTTTTTAGTGCAAAACAATTGTTAGAGAGGTTAGATGCATTGTGCACGGAAGTAACTTTATCAAATAAGTTGTTTTTGCTTGAAAAAATTTTCTAATTCAAACTAAACACTAAGAAGAGTGTGAATGAGAATATAAATGTCTTTACTAAACTAATTCAAGATATACAGTTGAGTGGAGATCAATATATTAATGAATATTCTTCGATTGTGCTTTTGAATGTCATTCTCGATTCCTATAGTGATGTTAAATCCGCAATTAAATATGGTAAAGATAACATTACTTTTGATATATTAATAAATGGCTTAAAAAGTAAGGAATTAGATTTAGTAGCTAATAAATCAATTAGAAACTCAAGTGGCGAGGTTATGCATGTAAAAGGTAGAACTTTCAATAGGAATAACCAAAACAACAATAATAGAGATAATCAAATCATCAAATAATAATAAAAAGAAAAATAAAGAAAAGAATTATAAGTCAATGCCTAGGAAATGTTATGGTTATGGTGGAGCAGACCATTATATTAAAGAGTGTTCTAGTATAACTAATAAAGATCAAGTAAATAACACACATCAAATAATTGAGTCAAATGATAAATCAAATATGGTTTTTTGTAGTCAAACTTTAGGTGATGTATATTGATTGAGTTCTGTTTAATCTTTACTTGCCTTTAGTAAATGAATGTTGTAAAAGGATAATTCTTTTAAAAATTGACATTTTGGCTTCTTTTCTTGAGAAAATAGATGTTGGAATATTTATTTTTTTTTAAAAAAAAATCAATGCTGCTAGAATCTGTTTTGTGCTGCTGAAAATTGTTTTGAGTGCTGAGATTTTGTGTGTAAAATATTCAGTTGTGATATAATTCTGAATATTTCAATACATCTTGTTTTTTGTCTTGTTTGTGTATCCTTTATGAATAGTGAATGACATATTTTTTTGTTACTAGGTGAAGTAAATCAATTCTTGTTGTTATGATTTGATTTTGTTTTTTTGTTGTCTTTGTGTTTGTGTTTCCCAAAATAAGTGAATAATTTAGGTTGTTAGTTTTTCTAGAACATCTGAGTGTTTGTCTAACTGCATGTTAGGTTGCTAAACTTTGTGATAGTGTTTGCTTAGATTTTGTGATATAGTTGTTTCTATTTGTGATAATGTGTGCAAACCTATATTCGTAGCTACTTTGTGACGACGTCGAATTTCTTGGTGTGATATATATTTGTCTTTGTGTTTCTGAGTGTTCAAGCATGTAATAGGATCATTTAGTATTAGCGTTTGCTATGTTTTTCTTTGTGGTATCATGACATGTATATACTTTGTACTTAGTTCTAAGGTGGAGTTCGCATGTTGCCTCTTTTTGCATTAAATTGACCATTTTTTGAATGAGCTATTAGTTTTTACAGTACTAATGTTTGCTTGTGAGTACAGGGTTTACTTAACGTTTGTTATGAGTGTAGGTTCATTGTGTATTGGTGAATCTTCTCGAGCAATTCTCATGCGATTTGATTAGGCGAAAAAGTCACTAGGCTGTGATGCATCCATACGGGAGCAATCATTGGTAAATGACTTGGCCGAAAAGGTAGAGAATGTTGATATTTTGGCCCAAACCTATAAACAAAGCCGAACCCACAACCCAAAACCCTTTAACCCGACCCGACCCGGCGCTTTAAATCTCTCCCTTCCATTCTCATTTGGTTCAGGGGATATCGCGATTTGTTTCTCTCTGGTTTTCCATCGCCTTCGTCCTGGCGATTTTTGGTGAGTTTTGGGGGGTTTTGATCTCTTCGTCTCATTCTCGTTCTATTCCTTCCGGTAAGTTGTTCCTTTGGTGTTCTTCGTGAGGTTCTTGGGGAAATCGGTTGATTAAAGTTAGGGTTTTAAGATCGAGTCCGTTGGTTTGGAGTTTAATTTGGAGGCGGTTGTGTTAGTCCTTAAATGAGTCTTAGGTTGTAGACTGAGTCGTGAAAATAGTTTTTCCGATCGTCTTTTTCGAGTTGCTTGGGAATTGCCAGAGAAAGGAGTTCGCTGGAAGTCACTGCCGGATGAAGGAGCCTCCGCTGACCGTTGCTGCCTTGTTGCCGCACCGCCGCCTGGGTTTGTTCGCCGGAGGAAGAACCGCTGGTTGGCGGTCATCGTCTGTTGAAAAAAACAAGGAGTTTAATTCTAGTTCTAATTTCAATTCTGCCTAGCTTTATAGTTTTGGTTAGATATCAATTTTAGAACATATTCTTATTAATGTAATTTGGTGTTTGACATATAAGTAAAAACACTACATTTGTGCTGGACTGAACGTATATATTTTTTATTTACTCATATAAAATTAATAATTTACTATAAAATATTACTTTTTATATTATTAACATATTTTTATATATTTAATTTTATTTATAATTATTAAATATATTTTTTAAAATAAATTTTATCAAAAATATAAATATTAATTGGAGTGAAACAAATCAAAAAATATAAATCAACTAAAATATGACAATATAATTCTTAAATAAAATTAAAATATTAAAACAGAAATAAAAAAATTAATACAATATACTAAATAAAATACTATACTATATTAATACTATATATATAGGTATATCAAAAATTCTAAATATGGTTTTAGATATTAATAATGATTTAAACTTTAAATTCTAATATTACAAAATAGAGAGCAACACCTTAGTAGAAGTAATTTTGAGTAAAGCTACAAAATATCTTGGAGGGAGGAAGTATTCAGCTAGTAAATATACATATTTTTATTTTAGGACGTCCAATTACAAAGTAAATATTTCATTAAATATTTCATTTTTGTTTTCACAACTATTCTTACTTTATATTACATCATTACTTTTACAAAAAAAAAAAATAAAAATAAAAATATCATTATATAATTTTAACTATCTAATATAATTAAAATACTATTATATATATGGACATGGGGTGGGCAGTGGTGACAGCCACTCAAATCACAGTCCCACAACGAAACGAAAAGGAAAGAAAAAGAGTTCCGGCTGGATGGCCCGACCCGAAGCGAAAGGCCACGCCGTACTGGTGCCGTTCCCGGCGCAGGGCCACATCACCCCAATGCTCAATTTGGGGAAGCTCCTTCACCAGAGCGGCCGTTTCTTCATTACCTTCGTCAACACCCACTACAACCACCGCCGCTTCCTCCGCTCCGGCGGCCCCTCCGCCCTCCACGGCCTGCCGGACTTTCGATTCGCCTCCATTCCCGACGGTCTCCCACCGTCCGACGCCGACGCCACGCAGGACGTACCGGCGCTCTGCGCCTCCACGTCGACCAATTGCCTCGAACCCTTCTGCGACCTGATCTCGGAGCTGAATAGCGATGGCGGGCCGCCGGTTAGCTGCATCGTCGGCGACGGAGGGATGACGTTCACGCTGACGGCGGCGGAGAGGTTCGGCGTGGCGGGAGCGCTGCTCTGGACATCCAGCGCGCCGTCGGTGTTGGCGAACGCGCACTACCGCTCATTGGTGGAGAAAGGATACATCCCTCTCAAAGGTACAAGTACTACTGCTACTACTATTTCTTTATATTTTTTTTATTGCATATTACTAGTTCAATACTTTCATTTTATTTGTAACCAAGCTTTGTTCATTTAATAAAAAAATTTAAAATATTTTTTAAAAAAATTACTTTTTTCATCCCCACGTGATTTATCTATATTTTCTATTTTTGTTTATTTTATATAATTTGTCTTTTTTATAATATAATTATACACTTTAATTATATTTTAAATTTTATATTTTATAATTTTTTTATTTTAATTAAATTATTTAATTATCTTAATTTTAATTTATAATTATTTTTATTAATATATTTTTTAATTAAATTATACTTCACCTAAATTTTTATATTTACAGTAGTAATAGACCATGTTTCCTGGGAGTAAGAGAATAATATATTAGATGCACTTTTATTTTTATATTACTTATAAATTCTTAGTACCACAAAAAAAATATCAAAACATAAAATAGACACAACTGATTTGAATTTGATATACTAATACTCCATTTTGAGTTAAAATAATCCATTTGGTTGAAAATAGCATATTTTTTATAGTATATTAATAAATTAATTATATTAGTTATAATATTTTTTTTTTTAATCTTTTTTATATAAGTGGTATTATTATTTTTTTAATAAAAATTAATACATGATTAAAAAAATTAAAATAGGTATTTAAATATTAGATTTCAATCATATATATAATGTGAATATTATTTTGTAAGTAATAAAATTTTATATAATACAAATAAATAAAAGTTTTATTTATTTATTTATAATTAATATAATTAATTTTATAAATAATAAAAAGTTTTAAATATTATATTAATTTATATTTTTTAAATGAATTTTAAAATGTTAAATTTACCAAAATTAGAAAAAAAAAAAGAGGAAAAGTCATTTTATATAAAACGAACTAAAAAAATAAGAGATCGTATGTAGCGGGGACAAAAAGAATATTTTGTATTGTAAAATAATATATTTTGTTGGTAATAATGAGAAATGAGAAGTAAAATTTTTTATTTAAAAAAAAATAAAATATAAAAATATAAAAAGAAAAATGTTTTTGATTTGTTCTCTTTGTATTTTTTTCTCTTATTAAATTAGAAAAGTCAATATTTACTTTTCATATAAGATTAATAATAAATTTTAGTTTGAATAAATCAAATTTAATTAAAAAAATTAATATAACAAAAATAATTTTTATTCAAAATTAGACTGCAAATAATAAAAAACAAAATAAAAAAAAAGAAAGAAAAAACAACAATAACAAAAAAGTCCTTTATGATTCCCAACAAAATTTTTAGGTACAATTATTAATAAAAATATACTATTTTTATTTTCATAAAATATAATATTATATAATATTACACAAACCAAAAACTAAAGAAATCCTGTATACTTTTAAATATCATATAAATATTTGATATATTATATTTTAGCAAATTAGTATTCCCTCCGTCCCACATACTATATCCATGTTGCCGTTTCTGTCTGTCTTATATACTATGTCATTTTTCTTTTTCGAAAATAATTACACACTTTAATCTCATTTTAAACTTTTTATTTTTATTTTTTTTAATTTTAATTAAACTAATTAGTTATCTTAATTTTAATTTATAATTATTTATATTATCAGATAATTATTTTCACTAATATATTTTTAATTATTTACTAATTACATCGCTCTTAAAATACCGTTTGTACAGTGTAGCAGATACGGTACGTGGAACGGAGGTAGTATTAATAATAATATCAAATTTTACAAAATATATATGTCGATTTAAATAACCTGGTTTTAGGCATTTGACAATGCTCATAACCATAATGCCATCCAAAAGTCCACTCAAATTTGTTCTATGCCAAAATATCCAACAATCATTAATGAAATTGATATTATTTGTACGATTTTAAGTAATTTTTTGTTAAAAAATATTAAATTAAAATATTATTATTTAAATAAAAATTGTAATTAAGGTTCTATTTTAAATTATACAACACAAACTCTTTTGAGTAAGATGATACTCACTTCGCCCCAAACACGCAACAACATTTTATTTTTTATTTGTCTCAAACTTACTGCAATACTTTTAAATTTAAAAATAATTAATGCTCTCTCCGTCCCAATATAATAGTCTTTTTTACTATTTTTGTCCGTCTCAAAACAATAGTCTCGTTTCCATAAATAACCATATCACTGTATAACTATCATTACTCTTTCATTATCATTACACAATTGTCACTACCTTTTACAGTAATACACTCACAAGGGCAAAAATATCTTTTACCTATATTTTTTACTCGCTATCAATATAATATCAATATTCTTTAAATCTCGTATCAAACACAACAAAGACTATAGTTCTGGGACGGATAGAGTAATATTTATATACATATATTAATATACACTTCACTTTATCCATCACATCACTCAAATAAAAAAATAAATAATCATTTTTCTCTCCAATCATATCACTTAATATCCAAATTATCTCAAATTACTATACTAAATACTCTCCACCTAAATTCCTGTGTCAAATACAAATATTGCACGGTGTTTGAGACGGAGTGAGTATTATAATAATAATATGTATAGTATGATCCATCGGTTTCATTCGGTGATCTCTGTTAGAAATTTTGGCGGAAAATAATGAGATTATCTTCTTTTATCATAAAAATAAAGAGCCTATATATAGACAATACAAAATAGACTCCATAAACTTAAATCTAAGTAATCTAATTTATGAATAATATCAAATCTAGATATAAATCTACTAAATTTAAAACTGAATATCTAAAATATCTCAACATCTCCCCTCAAACTCAAGTGATATAACAGAAACCAAATTGAGTTTAATAAGAATTTTGAACATAAACGCAAAAAAGAAAACATAAATAAAAATAAGAGATAAGGCTTAAGGCTAAGTCGGGGATGCAATATGTATCAGGAAGATATAGGGAAGGGGAGGACGCAAGACCGGTGTGGGTAATATGCATTGTAGTACCATTGGCAGTATGTATAGGTGGTAAATGGGAGACAGGGGATATATAGGTCAAGTTACGAGGGTTAGAGGTCATATGGTGACAACAACCAGAACCAAAATACCAAGTACATGTACCAGGAGTGGTAGACATAGCAGAGAATTGGTTTGCATAACCTGTTTGATGATGGCTTCTATGTCGTGAGGATTGTAAGGCGCATGCTAAGTCTCATCAGTAGTAGCAGCCATAATCGTAGAAAATGTAGTCGAAGAAAACCCACTAGGCTCCCGAGGTTTGGGAGCAAAGCTACCGTAATGTCTAGGAGCAAAACTACCTGAACGTTGAGATCTTGTGGGACAGACCAGAGCAATATGGCCACGCAGATGACATGAGTGGCACTTAATCTTCGGACAGGTAGACCAAGTGTGATCAGGAGATTTGCAAACTCGACATCCAGTACGAGTAGATCGGGACTGGCGAGACACATCTAAAGCAGAATCAGAACTCGGTGTCTTAGCCAATTGGAGACGGGTTTCCTCAAAAGTAATCTCCTGAATGGCAGCATCAAGAGTAGGCAATGGATGTCGATGTAGGAGTGAGGCACGAACAGCCTCATATTCAGGTTGAAGGGCCATTAAGATCTGAATAAGGTCAAGATGGTCCTGACTAATTTGTGACTGTCGGAGACGATAACAAATAGATTGAACCTGAGCAAGAAATTCATTAACAGACTGACCAGGTTGCTGTCGGGCGGAGCTTATCGTGGTCCAAAGTTGATAATAATGAGCAAGACCTGTAGTCTGAAAACGAGCAACGAGGAAATCCCATGCCTCCTTTGCAGTATCAAAAAGAGTCAATTGTACTTGAATCGCAGATACAGAAGTATTGCGCAACCAAGTAAAAATCTGATGATTCTTACTATCCCAATCTTCCAATTTGGCAACATAATCTTCATGCTCCCGAGAGGTGGGATCAACATGCACAAAAGGAGATGGAGAGACAGGTGGTCGGATATCGCCAGTGACAATTCGCCATAACTTCATACCAATCAAGAAACTTTTCATAGACTGCATCCAAAGATCATAATTATCGCCGGAAATATAGTAGTAATAGGTAAATAAACGTCCATACGCTCCATAACAAAAAAAAAATGTATAAAAATATGTGAATCACGAAATCAAAGCCCAAATAAAAAAAAAGTAGATCGAACAATCCAATAGGTAGCAGTCGCAAAACGAGATCAACTTCGATGACAAACCAACCACACCACGACGTAGGGAACAAAGCAGGAGGCGGCGACCGAAAAAAAAAACGACGACCGGAGAAGGGCGGACGATGGACGGTGAACAGCGGCAGCGACGACTAAGGTTTTGGTTTTGGAAAACCATGCTCTAATACCATGTTAGAAATTTTGGGGGAAAATAATGAGATTGTCTTCTTTGATCATCAAAATAAAGAGTCTATATATAGACAATACAAAATAGACTCCATAGACTTAAATCTAAGTAATCTAATCAATGAATAAGATCAAATTTAGATATAAATCTACTAAATTTAAAACTGAATATCTAAAATATCTCAACAATATCATTTTTATCATTTTTGTTTATTTGAAAATAATAATCTCTATTTTTATAATTAATCATATCATTATAGATTATTTTTACTTTATTATTACTATAAAAACACTACTATTTTTTATATTTAAATTAAAATAATTTTACAAGAATAAAAAATATATATTTTATTCATTTTTTCTATTCTTCCGTGCCCAAAAAAAATAAACCCATAGTTATTTTGGGAGGTAGTATTATCCATGTTAATTATACCTAAAATACTATATACTCCTATAAGTTATATTTATATTCAAATATTTATAAAATTAAATTAGTAGCTTGTTTTTACACTAGCAATCTAGATTAATTATTATATTCTAAAAATCATCCAAAACATAAAAGCTGCTATCTAGGTATATTTCAAAATTCAATAATACCTTTTTAATTAAAACAAATTAAAATTTTCAATTATTTCAAAACTCTTATTATTATTATTTATCTAAACAAAACCTAAATTGAAAAGGTTTTCATTTAAATGTAAAATGTATCGTTTATTAATTATCACTTTCAACCCTACCTTAAAATTATACCAAAAAAATAAAAAAGGATATTCAAGGCTTATTTTTATTTTATTTATTTTATTTTTATCTCAAATAAAAATTAATATTATTCAATTCACAAAAATTTTAATCAAAATAAATTATTTTTCTATAAAATATAATTTTAACTAAAATAAAAAAAAAATCACAAAAGTTTTAATCAAAATAAATTATTTTTCTATAAAATATAATTTTAACTAAAATAAAAATAATAATAATAAAGATTTCAAACTTCAAAGAGTAAGTGGCGGAGGTAGAAGTAGGGCTTAGGGGTGTTTCTCCGTCTTAATTATTTGAATTTTATATTTTTTATTATACAGTATTTGTGTATTTTTAAAAATTTATATAATTGACTGTTTCTATAGATTTAATAAAAGTATTATTATTTATATTTAATTCAAACACTTAAAAAAATTAGTTCAGATATTACAAGTATTTAAAAATATTTTTTTAAAAAAAAAAATCAGAAAACAAACTAAAACCTTTGTTGTAATTTTTAATTTTTTTTTTATTATATTATATAATTTTAAAATTATTATATATTCCTTTCCTCCCAAAACTATAGGTTGGGTTGTGTTCAACACGAGATTTAAGTAAAAAGTACGGATAAAAGACCTTTTTGTCTTTGTGAGTATATTAGTGTAAAACGTAGTTACATTGTGTAATAATAATAAAAAAATAAGAATAGTTTTATAGTGATATGATTATTTATGAAAATAAAACTATTATTTTAGTACGGATAAAAATGATAAACAAAACTATTTTATTCAAACGGAGAAAATATTATTTATATAAAAAAAATTCCGGCCCAACCAAAAAGATTTTCTGATTCCGTCAAAGTCAAAGATACCCATAATATGCAGGCAGACAAGGTGATACGGTTAGGAAAACATGATAGCAGTATGCTCCAATGCCGTTTGGATACGTCACCCAATAGATATATATATCCGTACCCATCCACACCAACTCGATCATTGTTCTTTCGCCTTATGATTTACATAATTTGTTTTTATTTTTTATTTTTGTGCATTTTATATAATTTGTTTTTTTTAAAAAAAAGAAAATTGATTATATATTTAAATTATATTTTAAAATTTTAATTTTAATTTTTTTAATATTAGTTAAATTATTTAATTATTTTAATCGTAATCTATAAATATTTTTAGTAAAAATTTAGAAAAGAAATATGTATATATATGAGATGATTTTGATATTTTTATTCTTTATATATAATGTATAAATTAAAATGATATATTTGTAATTTATGTAAAAATGAATGGTATTTTAATATTAGTGTGTGATTATTTTTATTATATTAAAAAATAGATATTTTTGAGTGAGATAGAAAAATTAATTAAAAAAATACATTAAAAGAGTGTTTGGTACAGAGAAATAAGACAAAAAAAAAATGATTTCATTTATCTTGTTTGGTTGAACCAGAGAATTGGGTAATTGAATAATACAATATTTTTTTTTTTACTATTTAATTTTTATAATTATTTTAAAATTATATTATTTTAATTTTATAAAATATTACATTTAATTTATTATTTAAGTATTTAATTTTTACTATTTCTAGTTTGTTGAGTGAGTATTATTTATCTTTTATTTTATTAATTTTTAATATCTATAAATATATATATATGTATATTTGTAGATATATTTTATTATTTTTTATTAGCATAATTATTTTTTATTAATTATTATATTTGATATTTTTATTAATTAAATATTTTAATAATTTGATATATTTATATATTTAAAGGTTTTTATAATTCATGTATATATGGATTTATGTTATTTTTTATAATTAGTGTATTAAATAAAATTGTATTTATATTTTAATTAATATTTTATTGTTACACATAATAATTATTATAATTTATTAAAATTTTAATAATTAGAAATCTAAAATAATTATATATATAATAATTTATAATTATATTATTGAATAAAAATATTATAATTAATATATTGAATTACAAAATTATTTATTTTAATATATTTAAATTTTATTATATATTATAAATTTATTACATAGTTGTTTGATAAAAATTTTATAACTATGATAAAGTTAATATGATGAATACATATATATATATATATTGCAAGTATAAACTATTTGTTTTTAAAAACTAATAAATAAATAAAGTATGGCTTATTATGAAGTAAACAATTTATACCTATTTCAAAAATATTTAAAATATAAATATTTTTATAGAAAAATAAAAATAAAAATGCATGTACTTACTTAAAAATAATATATTGAAATAAGTATAAATTTTATGATTGTTTTTTATTTTATTAATTATAAGTTTAATATTAAAATATTTTTAAAATTTATTGTACATATGATTGTTTTTTTATATATATATACATAAAATATCTCAAAAGAAATGTTATTCAATAAATTTAAAAATATAATATAAAAAATAGGTAAAATTGTTCATAAATCTTCAGTGGTTTCAAAATTTATGCACTTTAAAAATTGTATGACACCCTTTTACACTTTAAAAAAACGTTGTATGAAATGAAACATCTCTTATGAGATGAGAAAATAATTTTCTATCTATATTTTGTATGAAATAATTTTCTATCTATATATTTTGCATTACGAAGAATTGCATTAACATTTTTTATAATATTTACATAATTTTCTATACCTTACATAAAAAAAAAAAAATAAAAATATGTCTTTACAATCAAACCTTTTAATACTTACTAAAACCCATACATCCTACACAATTTAGTTACAATTTTTGGTCAAAGATAATCTACATATTTTCATGAGAAAGTTTGATACTATTTTATGATTATTGTTTTATATATCCAATTTAAAATGAAGTTATGGAACACTTAATTATAATAAAATAACAATTCCTTCATTCATTCCTTCCCTTAATAATAGAGTATTAACTAATTCCAAATAATATACCTATAGATGCATCTCAGCTCTCCAACGGTTACTTGGACACCATAATTGATTGGGTGCCCGGAATGCCCAAAGATATCCGATTGCGTGATTTTTCGTCATTCATCAGAACCACTGATCCCAACGACATTGTGCTAAATTTCATAATACGAGAGATTGATGCCGCTCCTAAAGCCAAGGCTTTGATCCTCAACACTTTTGACGCTTTAGACAGCGATATCCTCAACTCCCTCTCAGCCATATTTTTGGCCCCCGTCTACGCCGTTGGCCCCCTCAATCTCATGAAAATCACGACTTCATCTCGTCATCTCGATGGTATCAATTCAAGTCTATGGAAAGAGGATTTTAGTTGTATCGAATGGCTCGACCAAAAGGAACCTCAGTCAGTAGTGTACGTCAACTTTGGGAGCATAACGGTGATGACTATTGAACAACTGACTGAATTTGCGTGGGGACTTGCCAATAGCAATAAACCCTTTTTATGGGTCATAAGGCCGGATGTTGTGGTCGGGGAGAAAGCCATGTTGCCGCCGGAGTTTTTGGTAGTTTAATTTAATTTGCTTTTAATATTATATATATATTTCATCTGGCTGCCAAAATTATTTTATTATCTTTTCATTGTCTGTTTAATTCATGCGTAACTAATTGGTAATAAATAATTTTATCTACTTACAATTTTGTTACATTTACTTTGATAAATAATGGGTATAGATCAGCTGCTGATTCGGTCAAGTCGACATGGTGCTGATTTGACCGAATCAACATATGTTATACAGGTAATCAACGTATATTTATACATATCTTAATATATATTATACTCCCTCCGTCCCTTAATAAAGTATCAATTTGTCTTTTACAATATTATACTTAACATGAAAAATATTCTTATATTTGTATAATATTTTATACAAATGTTATTGCAGTTGTATTGTAGAACACTAATAAATGCTTTTTTTTTTCTCTTAAATTGTACTACGAATGAATATAATATTAATATTTAAAATTTAATATCTAAAATGTAAATGAATAACTTGTCAAGAGACGGATAGAGTATCATATATTATACTATGTGTAAATATATATGTCAATTATGTGTATGATATATGTTGATTAGATCAAATAAGCACCATGCTGACTTGACAGAATCAGCACACTAATTAATTATCAATTTGCCACTATCTTTTTACTTACCCCATTATTTTTTATTAATCATTCGATGAATTTTCTATAATACACTTATTTTACTTTTTTCATATTTCACTTTAATATTAAAACATCGTTATTTCTTAATCTATCAAACCAAATTTACTTAATTTTATGAGATGGAAAAAGTATTATTTAAGCGATAAGTTTATATTATATGTACATATACTTTTTTTCAGATAGAGACTGAAGAAAGAAGTATGATAGTTAGTTGGTGCCCACAAGACCAAGTATTGAAGCACCCGGCAATCGGAGGATTCTTGACGCACTGCGGATGGAACTCGACATTAGAGAGCATTGTTAGCGGCGTACCGATGTTGTGTTGGCCTTTCTTTGCCGATCAACAGACAAACTGTCGGTACGCTTGCGTTGAATGGGGAGTCGGTTTGGAAATCAACAACGATGTTAAACGAGACGAGGTTGAGTCGCTCATTAAGGAGCTCATGGGCGGCGAGAAGGGCCGGAAAATGAAGGAAAACGCCATGGCGTGGAAGGGGAAGGTGGCGGAGGCCATCGCCCCCGGGGGAACTTCCTACTCCAATTTCAATAAATTGATCAATGTCCTTTCGAATTAATTAAGAGATATATATATATATATATTTTGCTACTGCTGCTACTTATGTATAAGTGTGTGCTGTGGGGATTTCATACATTGAAATATTATTCATTGCCATTGTACTTATTTCTAGTATGAATTATGTTTATGGGAACTTCGAAATGACTACTTTAATTTATCATGGGAGTTATTATTATTATTATTATTATTATTATTATTATTATTATTATTATTATTATTATTATTATTTGGGGTATATTTCACGTCAAAGTCCCTATAAAAAAAATACCCTGTTCATCCCAAATACGGCGCAATATTTTATTTCGATATAGAAATTTACGTAGATAATACTAAATATAATGTTTAGAAATTACGTAATGTGATGAAAATGAAATATATATTTCTTTTTTTATTTCGGTGATGTGATGGAATAAAGTGTGATACAAATTAAGTATAATTAATTATTTTCTATTCTGAAAATTGCGAAGTGTTTAGATAAACAAAAAAACATATTATAGAATATTTGAGACAAATGAAATAAGTATTATTTTATTTATATAAGTATTTTTAATTATTATTGACATCTATAGTTTTTCTAGAGAGAAAAAAAATAAATAAATTTGGGTGTGCCCAGCCCAAGTTGTAGTGCAAAGCAAATAGGATACTCAAAGGCCGAGTAGCAAGCTGTCTTAAGAGGCCAGCCTCATAAAATAATGATAATAATTTAATATCATAGCAACGTATCATATAGGAGTATTAAATTGATAAGAACATAGATTAAGGTCAAGAATTAGGGTGTATTAAATCAAGATTTTGTAGAATTTTGGTGGATTTTTAAAATTCAAATGTATTAATTTAAAAGTGTTATAAAATATGGAGATATTCAATTCAAATTTTTAAAAAAAATTTAAAATTTTAAAGTATTTAATCTAAATTTTTAAAAGTTTTTTACAATCCTATGATATTCAATAATTCATAAATTTTGGATTTTAATAGAAAGTTATGAAAAAATTGCATAGTATAAAATCTCTTATTGTAAGTAAAGATTTTATGAATTCTTAAAAATATATTATTATTATTATTATTAGGAAAAATAGCAAAAATTCAATTCTTTGTAAATTCTGAATTTGCTGCAATACTCCTATGGTCCTAAAATTCTATAAAATTTACTCATGGTTTAGAAAATGTTACACACTCGCTCTCCCTTTTAAATTTCGACGTTAAATTTTATTATAATTGACCATTATACCATTATTTATATATATTCTAAATTTATTTTTCTATTTCTGTCACCTCTATTATGTCTCTCTTTTCTGCTTTTTTTTCTCTTGTGTCTTATCTGCTCTTTCATTTGTTTTTCTTCCATTTTCTCTCTATACCTCCACTCTCATCTTTTTCTTCTTTATTTGATGTCTCCAGAGCTTGCCTCGGCTGCGTACGAAAACGGCGAGCTGGGGGTGACGGTGCCCAAGGCGCGGCCAAAGTGGAGGAGGAGGACAGCAGCGGGGAGGACGAATGAAATATTACTATATTTTATTTATATTGTAAAATATTTGAGAGAAATGAAATATTATTTTATTTATATAAGAAATATATATTTATTTTTTATTTTTATTTTTATTTTTTATGATATGATAGAAATAAAATGTGATATAGAAATTAAGTATAATTAATAATTTTCTATTTTAAAAATTGTTGAGTGTTTGGACAAACATAAAAAATATTGTAGAATTTTTTAGAATAAAATGTGATATAGAAATTAAATATAATTAATAATTTTCTATTTTAAAAATTGCTGAGCGTTTGGACAAATAAAATATTATTTTCTTGATTCAATTTTATTAATATTTAAAAGCATCTCCATCTCAGAACCGTGAAATGATATTGGTCTGTTGCAACCAAACCTCACGCCAATTTTTTGTGGTGCAATTTTAATTTTTTAATTTGTGTATTGGACCCTGTTATACTTATGTAGGGACCAATTTGTAATTTTCATATTATAATTATGCATATATGTAGTTTTTTGTTATTTAAGAATGATTAAAATGTATAATAATTATTATTATGATAATTCAAATTATGTATTCAATGTATTTAAATTTTATAGTATTTATTTATTATATTGAAAATATATTATTAAATAACAATAATTATTTATATAAATAAAAGTAAAAATTGAGTGTGAATTATAAATATAAAAAATTAAAATAATGTAATATGAAATATTTGAATAATATTCTTTTTAGAGTAAAACAAAAATAAAAATATTATAGCGACTGCATTGAGTTTAAATTGTATAAATGAGTTTGTGGATTGAGGAAAGTCTAAGTGTATTTGATTGTAATTTTAAATTGAAAATACCATTTACTCCCAAAAATATATTTTTCTCAATAAAATATATTATTTTCTCTTTTAAAATATTATGGACGTGTTTGACAATTAGCTGTTAGCTGATTCAATTAGCTGATTTGAGTAGCTGATTCGATTAGCTGTTTGTATTAAAATATTTGGTAAAACAATTGTTTGCTATTAGTTGTTTATACATAAAATGACAATTGAGGACATTTCTATTTTATTTTTGTTTCTAATATATTCAATTATATTCTTTTGAGTTTTGAATGTTTGAAATCTTTTGTTATTAGTTATTGAAAATTGTAAAAGTGTTATAAAAGTATTTATTTTTATTATAGTTAGATTTAAAAAATAATATATTTTTATTAAAATATATAAATAGTTTTTTCTATTGAAAATGATGTAAAATATAAAATAATAAATTTTTCATATATATATATTTATTATATTAGTTATCGATTAGTTCATTATATTTATAATTTTTAATAAATTTAATTTATTTTTAGTATAAAATTTATATAATGTAATTTTAATATGAAAATAAATTATTAATATTTATATTTTCTATTTTATGTTGATTTTAATAAATTTATATATTTTACAATTAAAATAATTTTTATATAAAAATTAATTATTTTAAATTTATAAAAGTAAAACTATAATATAATAGAATATTCTAATATAATTAATAAATAATCAAAATATATTTATTTGTGTAAAATGCATAATAAATTTTTAAGGGTATATAAGGAATAAAAAATATTTTTACAGAAAAAGCTATTTCAAAATACTGGGTAAGTTAGCTTTTTATAGATTAGCTTTTTGGGTCCATAAAGCTATTCCAAAAAACTAATTTACCAAACACCTAAATTAGCTTTTTGACAGGTCGAACAGCTAAAAGTTGTTTAATAAGCTAAAAACTCTTAAAAAAACTATTTGCCAAACGCCCTCTATATTTAACTATCATTTAAACAAAAATTCAAATAACATAACTGTTTAAATTAATTTTAAATCAGGATCAAACAAACTATTTATTACACACAATCATTACAAACCTAAATCGTATAGAAAAACACAATTTACAAAACTCATTCTAAAAATCCACTCTAAAAATCCACTCTAAACCCAAATCAAACAAATAACCAGAGCATATATAAAACTTTCATTATTTTTGTATTGATTTTAAGTTAACAATTTCATATTAATACTCATTGTTTAGATGTATAATTATTATATAATAATGTAAATAAATAATTTAAAATTTTAGATATTTATAAATATTTTAAATTTAAGTCCCGTTTGCATTGACTTTTGGCAGAAATTTTTTATTTCAACTTAAAAAATATATATATTTTGTACCTATTTATATTGTTTTCTATCAAAAGCATAAGCATTTTTTTAAGTTGAAAAGTATTTTTAAAAAACACTTTGAAAATAGCTTATAAAATAAGAAAAATTATTTTTCAATTAAAATTATTGTTTTATCAATAATAAAAATAATAATATTAATAATAATAAATATAATACCATAATATAATATTTTAGATATTCATCTCTCATCGTTAGGTTAGTTCTGTGCAAAAGAACTTCCATCTAGACTTCTGATCCATTCGAGCGTAATCGATGTTGATGCCGAATCCAAATTAAAATCATTAGGGGTGTGTTTCTTTTGACAAGGTTTGGAAAAATTGAGTTTTAGTTTGGTTTTTATTTGAAATTTGAAGTGGGTTTGATTTTTGTCGTTTCTTTAGATATATAAGTTTGGTTTGAGTTTGGAAGGTTTTGATATAGATTAATTTGATAGATAATGATTGTATTGGTTGAAAAGTGTATTATATTAAATTTTTTTAATTATTTTTTTTAAAAGAAAATGAGAAAAGATATTCCCCATTCGAGTCGCCGTCCAACCTCCGCGTAAATCTCCGATGCTCTGCAGAAAACTCCCTCCTCCGTTTGAGTCGCCGTCCAGTTGCGTCGCTGCCATCCGGTAAGTATTCCCCTGCGTCTATGATCTCTTCTTCGTCGGGCCGTGACCGTGGGGTCCTACTGTTTTGTATCTATTGAAGGAAGGTGGAAGGGGAAAAGGTGAGGGGTAGGTTTAACACCCCGTCGCGTACGATCTCTTCTTCGCCAGGCGTTGACCTTAGGGTGCTGCTGATCTGTATCTACCGCCTGCTCCAAAAAAAGGCCTTCAACCGCCGCCTTCAAAGTGTGTTCCGTAGTGTCGACTTAACTTGAACACAAACAAGAGAGAATGGAGAAAATTATCCATCAGAGGGAGGAGATAAAGGGTTTGAACCTAAACTGTAAAAACAATGTAGGTGTGTCAGTAGTTGTCTCTTAAGGGGGTTTCACGCTTTAATTTCATCGCACAGTGTTTGTATAGTGAAGTTTTCCAAACCGGTGTAAAAGAAACACACCCTAGGTTTATTCCAAACGAGGAAAACACCGGTAAAAAAAAGTTTTGATTTTAAATATTTTTTTGTTGTGATAACTTTGTTGGATGAATATTAACAACAACAATAATAACTTTGTGGATATCACAAAGTTATCACAAATGTGTATTCAACCAACAGGGCCAAAATTTGTCAATAATTGTTGTTGGGTCAAACAACTACGAGTTAATTAAATCATATTCATTTTATGGGTAGTGAGTGTGCAATAGGGGATACTTCCGAGATAACATAGGAAATAACCTATCTATGCATTCAATGGTGTATAAAGAATGTCACTTACAATAAATATAAAATAATATATGTTGAGGTGAACCATAGTAATAGATATATATTGAAGTCACTGCATAACTGATG